TTTTGTTAATAACATTTTATTGGAACTCAGTCATACCCATTTGTTTATATATCATCTGTGGCTATTTTGTACTACCATGACAGAGTTGAGTAGTTGTGAAAGACTGTATGCCCTCAAAGCTTAAAATATTTACTACCTGAGTGGCTGGGACTGGAGGTGTGCATGCTGCCATGCCCGGCTAAGTTTTCTTATTTTTTGTAGAGATGTGGTTTTGCTATGTTGCCAGCCCTAGGCTCAAGTGATCCTCCCACCTTGGCCTCTCAAAGTGCTGAGATTACAGGCATGAGTCACCTTGCCTGGCTGCTACCTGGCCCTTTGTAGAAAAAGTTTGCTAACCCCCATTTTATTATAAGGTACTACAAGGTCTTTTCCTCATCTGTGAAATGGGCATTGAAAATAATGCTTACCTCCCAGGTGATTTTTGTGCACTGCTTGTGAGAGCACTCTGTGCGTGTTAGTTGGTTGTGGACATTATCACTGCCCTTCTCTTTCTCAGGAGGACGAGGCCAAGAAGCTGGTGAGTGAAGCCATTGCAGCCGGCATCTTCAATGACTTGGGGTCTGGAAGCAACATTGATCTCTGTGTCATCAGCAAGAGCAAGCTGGATTTTCTCCGCCCATACTCAATGCCCAACAAGAAGGGGACCAGGTAAGTGAAGGAGATGAAATTCTTGGTGTCCCTGGTTTTGTGGCCACCCTTGATATCTCACCGGCATCTGGACAGTTTTCTCGATTCCCACAGTGAGTTAACCCAGCGTTCCCAGGTTGGCCGCACACCACTGACCTTTAGTCATGACTTGCTTTACGATAGCCGGCCTCTGACAGGGACAGGGAAGTGATTTAATCTGTAAGATGTTGATGGGAAAGGTGGAGGGGGGCCCAGGAAAGAGCCCTGGGTTGGGAGGTGGGGAGGTGAGGTGTCAATCATCTGCTCTCCTTTCTCCAGTATCTTAAGAGTCCCCCGACTTCTGTGTGAAGGTGCATTTTTCAGGGCAGCCAGCCAATTGCTTTTCCTCACAGTGTTCCAAGCCTCCTGAAAGGTTACAAAGCAGTGCATCCCAAAGTTAGCCTTGAGAGCTAACTGGCGCCTGCTATGCTGGAGTGATGCCATTTAGCCTGTGGTATATGCTACGCAGGCCCCTAGTCTCAGGTGTGGCCCAGGCTCAGTGGTAGGAGAAGGTTCTAGTTGATTTGCTGAATAGAACTGGAAGGCTTCCAAGCCTGGTGGCTGGTATGTGTGCAGATGAGCAGCTCCTGCTTGCAACGCCTCAGGGGCATCTAGCTGTGTGACTATCCTGGGGCTCCTGACCTCCGCTGGGAGCCCGAGCTGCCCAGCATGCGGTCCCCAGCTCTGCTTCCAGCTGCAGTTACCTGAGTGTAGCGCAGCAGTGTTTATCCACTCTACCACCTCCCATTCAGCCCCACGGCTAGCCCAGAGGATAGCACACATCACCTTCTGCAATGCTTGCTTTAATCCCCCACTACAGGAGTAATTCACAAGGAAAGAATAGAACATTGAAAACCAGCAGGCATTCGTTGCACTCAACTTTGTGGAGGATCAGCGAGCTGTGAGGCTTGGGGCAGCACAGCTCTGGCCCGGGTTGGGGCATGTCAGTGGTGGCTTGGTGAATTCGGGCAAGTCAATCTTCCTGTCTTTGAAATGACAGAGCCAGACTGTAGGCACCTCTAATGAGCCCACCAAGCCCCTGGCACCTTTAGCAGAAAGGGAAGCCACCTTTCAGGCCCAGAGCTGTGCTGGGGGTGCTGCATACTCTACCCCTCCACATCCTGCTTCCCAGGTTATATGCAAGATGTCACAGGACTTGTGAACCAAACCCCCTGGTGAAGAGGTGACAGGGGAGGGAGGACTGAACAGAGTCCTGGGTGAGGATTTTGAAAGCCACGTTTGAGCCTTGAGAAATCACGTTTATGGTTGTCCAAGGAACCTGTGCTCAGTGTAGGAGTCCTTGTCCTACAGGGAGCACAGCAGTGACAAATCTCACCTCCTGGGACATGGGTTACTCAACTGTGAAGACTATACACACAAGAACAGAAATAAAACCACCACATGCCTAGTTACAAAGACTCGGTGAGGTGATGTGGAAGGTGCTGGGCGTGTGGTAGGTGTGCAGTGACCTGCCCTCTACGTGGAGCTGGTCCCCCTTGGTGCCCTGGGGCAGAGGGTATTGCAGCAACAGTGTCCCCACTTTCTGGAATCTCGCTGTCATCTTTTCTGCTGGTGACCACTGGTGGGGTACTGCCTGGGTCAGGGGAATTCTTTCCCAGAGTGGACAGTAGAGGCAGGGCAGAGGCAGAGCCATGGGCCTAGGCAAGTGCCATGCCCAACATCAGTGTGGGCCTTGCCTTCCTGATTCCTGCTGCTGCTCTCAGTCCTCCACAGTCCTGCCTTGCTTAAGGTAGAAGCCCTCCCTGCATGCTGTTGAAATCGGGCACTGTCACCCAGGGAGGTGAAGAGGCTCTAGTGTGTCCAAGCCTAAAGACACTGAAATGCAATTCAGATGAGTTGGGCACACACAGGCCACGTGGGACTCTGGCTGCAAGACCACATCCATGCTGCCACCAGAGTTCCAGCCTGGTGAGGAATGAGTGACATCTTCAAACCAGCGGGGAAGGGAGAGGGGGGATAGAGCTGAGGAAAGTGAGTGATGGGGACATTTCTGCCCGCTCCCCCCTCCCCAATCACAGAGCTTGGATCAAGAGCACGAGAATCCAGGGCAGCCTGCCCACCACCTGCCTGAATATTTTCATTCTTTCCAGCCCTCTCTGGCACCCTAAGGGGAATCCTAACTCCGTGTGTTTTTTTCTCTCGCTAGGTTTGGCCGGTACAGGTGTGAGAAAGGGACTACTGCAGTCCTCACTGAAAAAGTCACTACCTTGGAAATTGAGGTGCTGGAAGAAACAGTCCAAACGATGGACACTTCCTGAACGGTGTCAGTGGGTGGCTGGTACTGTTGTAGAAGACTGGGGGCATCCGAGGCCCCCTGTACAACATTCATTTGGCAAGTATTTGCTGAAAGAAACTCAATAAAATGAAAACCGAATGGGGTGGCTGATGTCTGGGGACTGTGTGGATTTTTTCTTTTGGCTGCCAAGGCCCATCCACCTGGCCTCCCCTTCAGGCTGGTGATCCTCCTTGGGTACCAGCCTAGGTTCAGGTGAGTGTAAAAGCAATGTGACCCTTTGGAGAATGGACGAGGCTTCGTCTGTTGCCAGAAGTCAGAGTGGGTTACTTTGATTCTTTGGATGGACATTTCTCCCTACCCGTTTTGCCAACATACTTTAAGGGGTAGCCTCAGGTTTGGTGTTTTTTGTAAATAGGGTGTTAAGTGCAGCACAGCATTCTACCTCGGCAGCCAAGTAGGAAAGAAATGTCAAAGAGAATCTCCAAGTTCAGGTTCTCAAGGCCCGCTCAGTGCTAAGTACCAAGAGAAGGCAGGCAGGTGGACTCTAGCCAGTTATGTGGAAGTCAAAGGAATGTTTTAGGGTTTGCTGTTTTCTAATAAGTAGGACATGATCATTTCGCTAACACTCAGGCCTGGTGAGTGGTTGAGATTGTGATGCCTCTAGAGCGTCCAACTGGACAGATTATGCCCACGGTGTGGAAGGCGGACGGCATGTGGGCCCACCTACGTGCTCAGGCTCACTGTGCCCGGGGAGAGACAGCAGGGGCTCTGAGAGCCAGAAGCAGAATATTTGAAGAAAATCTGTCTGGAATCAGAAAAGCTTTCAGGGGTAAGTGCTAGGCAGGACACAGGGACTTGGCTCTCCCCTACAGAGACCATTTGGGGCTGCACCCTCTCTCACGCCAGCTTCCCTTGTCACAACCGGTAGCAGCAGGCTGGGGAGAACAATGGAATTGTTGAGGGCAAAAACCTGGCTGATAATTATCAAAATTATTTGGAGAGCTTAAAAAAATCCCTGGATTACTCAATGTCTGGAGCCTGAGAAGTTGTGTTTTGAAAGGCTCTTTAAGAATTTGTGCTGCTTTACTGTGACACTGTTTTAAGTATTTATATGTACTGGTTTAAGAGCAAATCTCCAAAGCTGTTTTAAAATCATTTGTGACTTGTACCCTTGCACAGAAGTAACTCCTCTCACCTCGTTTTATCTCAAACAAGTACAGAGGAAAGGCTGCATCTGGAGAGCCGCCCCAGCCCACAGTGTCACAGTAGAACCGAGTCCACAAGTGGCAGCAGAGCAGCCTGCGGTCATCGCAGGGAGGCCTGGTCAGCGGGTGTCTGTAGGCAGCCAGGTGAGTGTCAGGAAGCACTTGCCCAGGTCACCAGTGGTGCTCTCTGCACGGCTAAACTGTCAACTGGTCAGGGACGAGAGCGTAGACTATTGAGGGTTAACTTGAGTATAAAAACAAAATTCAAACTATTTCCTTCAGAGTGAGTTGTCTTAAGTTCACATTTATAAATTAGTCTTCACAGTTAATCCTATTTGGGAAAAAGAAATAAATGAACACATTTTCTGGTTTCCTACACATATTACAGTTGTACTTTAATTCTTGACTTACACAGTCTGTGGACTTCAGTTTTGTGAAGGAGCGAGTGGCTGCCATTTTGGGGTCATCTACATTGTGTTAGAGACCTTGCATATTTTATTTCAAATTCTGTCAGCAACCCTAAAGGTAGATGCTATTAATCCCATTTTACAGATGAGGAAACTAAGGCTCAGAAAGGCTAAGAAACTTGCCCAAAGTCACACTAGGAAGTTGCAGAACCAGAATTTGTAAAGGACAGCCTACAGCCTGAGGGCAGAGCCCTTAAGTTTTCTGTATCCCTTGGAGGGAGGACGCCTGACACTGATCAGGCCAGGAGCTCAACGAGGCTGCGAGGAAACACACACTCCTGGCTTCAGATGCCATTTGCCTCGAGAAGTTCTGTGCCAGATGCTGGGTTCTCCTCATCGTCATTCATCAAGTTATAAAACGTAGATAAAAATATTAGCAAAATCTCCATTCTACTTAAAACAATTATTTCCACTTTATCCCTTTACAACAGAGTAAATTAAGCACAACAGCTTGATTGTTTGAAAAGATACTAAGAGCTAAACTCAACTTAGTACTAACCATTTTTAAAGGCTCACTACACAAATCAGAGTCTCCTGCAAGTCTATTAGCATAAACCCTGACAGGTCACTGGAAGAATTACCCTAAAGATTCACATTACAATCCAGATACAAGGGGGGCTTCAGTGGCTCGCTGACCCACCTACCCTTGCGAACCCAGCTGAGATTGTCCACAACACTATAAAGCAAGGACTTTAAATTTGACCATCAGTGCCCCTCCCCCCAGCTGCTCTGCTTTCAGCATCTGCTGTAAAGCTGGGCCCCCTTTTGGGGAACTTGCTGAACCCTGTTGTCTTAGCTGTTCTAGGCTACCAGGTGGCCACTTTGGAGAGAAGAAGACTCAAGGCAGAGTGGTGCTGGCTTTGGTAAGGCCTGGTGTGTCTGTGCTCAGGTGCTCGATGTCCAGACGTGCATCTGTTTGGCCACCTGGTGCACATAGCCAATGTCAGGTCTCTGGTCGGGGTCGGGGTAGATGCACATGCTGACCAGTTCTCGTAACTGCAAGGGAGAGAACACTGTTATTCCTAAGAACGCCGCCTTGCAGGCGCTGCATTAACGCCCTTAATCCTCACAGCAACCAACGAGGTTGTCCTAGTGGCCCCATTAGAGGTGAAGAACGGTGCCTAGCAAGGGTAGCAGCTCACACAGCTCCCAAGAGATGACCAGGACCACTCCTAGGCCTGTCTGGCCCCTGGTCACCTCCAAATAACTTTGAACTTTCAACTGTCCACACTACTGGGCAAGTCTGTTTGTGTCTCTGTTGTCACTCACACAGATGCCCAAAGCAGAGGACAAAACTCAAGGAAAGGGCTTATTGATCATAATAAGTGCATTAACATGCAGCAGGGCTGCAGTCTGTCCACCCCCTGGCCGCCCTATTGTGCTCATGAAAGACGGAGCTTTTAATTATACAGACACCGAGGCTGCTCCCGCCTCGAGGTGGGGGAGGGGTGCCTTGTGCCTCTGATCGCCTCCGTTCTTCTGATAGAGTGCCAATTATTTTAATGGTAATTAAAATAATGACCTTAAAAAGCCTACATCTTAACTTTCATCACAGGCTCACCACAATGGTTTTCATTTAAATACCTGCTGCTGGTGCCTGGCCCTGCAGGTCGCAGCAGCAGCAGGGAGGGGAAGCCCTGAACAAGAGGGGGCTCGGGTGGACTCAGTGGCCCAGCAGCGACTGCTGCACAGTCTCCAGGCTGCGGGGGGCCGGGGCCTGGGCTTCTTGTAAACAAGGGGTCCTCTGGATCGGGCATTTGCTAACTGGTCTGTGGAGCCTCCCTCCACCCTGCATGTGCCTTTTTGGGATTCCAGTGCCATTCACACTGGAAGCCTGGGATTGCAGCCTGCAGCCTGCCTGTGGATGAGACAGTACTTTTCTGAACCTTACGATATAGTTAGGGTAAGGTACCTGTGGTTGGCCTCTAACAGGTTAAAATACCTAAGGAAACCAGATGCAGGTGAAGTCCATGGGACCTGAACAACTCGTTTATGAGTAGACCACATAGTTGGCAATAAGTCCATATATGAAGTTTTCAGAAATCAAGAAATAAAAATAGTGGTGTCTTATCTTCATTTCTAAGAGGTGACAAAACTTTAAAATGGGGTGTACATAGTGGCTCCTAAGCAGCCCTCTTGCTCCTGGACATGGGGCATAGGAATGCTGCTGGGGACCGGTGACAGCCGGTACTTGGGAGGGGAGCGGTGGGCGGAGATGACGGGTTCCCCTTTAGAGAAACTGGCAACTGAAGCACAAAGTAGTGACTGACTCCAGGTTGCTCCGCTTGAAGCATCTTGCTTCTGAATAAGACAGAAGTCCACATTTAAACAGAAGAAGAGCAAGAAAAAAGTGAATGGCAGCTACTGACTTTGTAAAGACAGGTAACTAATTTTTCCTTTCCTGCCAGCTTGTACTGGAGAACATGTATCCTTCCTCCAAAGGTGCAGATGGGAGCACTGCTAGCATAGAGGCAGGGCCAGAGAGGAAGGCACAGCACGGCTCACGCCCTGGAGGTCTGCACAGCGAGCGAGCAGGGCAGGCAGTGCAGGCTGCCAGGGCAGGTCACAGCACTTGGGATCTGGCCTGGGCAAGGGTGCTCCTTCCAAAGCCTCACCCCAGCTGGCCAACTGGGTTCAGATCCAGCTTCACCACTTAGAATTTGTCTCATCGTGGGCAAGTTCCTTAACCCTTCTGGGTCTTGGTTTCCTTACATTAAAATGGGGTATGGGGGTGGATTCAACACAGGAAACCTGAATGAGCTGTTGTTACCATGAGGCAATGGCCTTGTGGTCCTATGGGGTGGCCCGGGAAGGCCTCAGACTGACACCCACACTAACATTGACCTTGAACAGAAATAAACATAGCAGATGACATTTAGTGAGCACTGACTCGGAGCCAGGCCCTGTGCTATATCCAGGGGCTTTTTTTTTTTTTTTTTGAGACACAGGCTCACTCTGTTGCCCTGGCTAGAGTGCCGTAGCATCAGCCTAGCTCACAGCAACCTCAAACTCCTGGGCTCGAGCAATCCTGCCTCAGCCTCCCGAATAGCTGGTACAGGCACGTGCCACCATGCCTGGCTACTTTTTTCTATATATTTTTAGTTGGCCAATTTCTATTTTTTTTTTTTTTTAAGTAGAGACAGGGTGTCTGTCTCTTGCTCAGGCTGGTTCTGAACTGACCTTGAGTGATTCGTCCGCCTCGGCCTGAGTGCTAGGATTAAAGGCGTGAGCCACTGTGCCTGGCCTACTTTTTTTTTTTTTTAAGGCAGAGTCTTGCTTTGTTGCCCAGCTTGGGTGCAAGTGAGCCACCGCGTCGGCCCAGGGACTACTACTGATGGTAGTGTTGGCCTGGTGCTCAAGACAGGTCCTGGGTGGAAGATTCTCTTGTCACTCCATTTTACAAATGAAGAAACTGAGAGGGAAGTCAAGTGATGACTTACCCAGGAACAGTGAAGGGAGTATGTGAATCTGTCTGTCTACACCCTTAATCACTGAGCAGTGAAACCTGTCCTTTCATCCTCAGATTTTATCCATGTAGGAGATGTATATACCAGTCCTATCTTTAAAATGAGAGAACTAAGGAAGCTGACATTCACACACAGCCCAATGGCAGACTTTTTGGAGTCTGTCCACAGCTCCTGCACCACTGTAAAAAACCCAAGGTGTGACTTAAGCCTATTAACAGGAGACCGGCCGGTCGGATCTGAGGTTTCCTATCACGGAAGCAGAGTGGCAGTTATAGGTGGGATGGGGAGCTGAGCCTGCCACCCTCCTGCCTCCCTATCTGGTCCCCGTGTCTGGTGCCACATGGAGCACGTCCCTGGGACCTGTAGCAGCGAGCCTCACTCCAGCGCGGAGCTGGTGCCAACCCTCACATCAGGCGGCTCTCGCTGGTTCCTGCCTGAGGCGCCCACCCCCGTGTTGGGGAAACCCCTTCAGCAAAATTCATTTACTCTTCCTCCTCTGGATCACTTTTCCAGAAAGCTTCCCTTCTTCACCCTGTAGAGTGAACCCAAGCTCAAGCCCACAGCTGTGGCATTTGGGCACTGCCCCTCGGGAGCTACTGGGGGTGGCCAGGCCTGGCCTCTGGCATCGGCAACTCACCTTCTCCGAGTAGTGCTCTCCGGGGAGGGGCGGGTAGTCACACTGCTCGATCTTCTGGCAGAGGGAGAAGAGGTTCATCTTATCCCCATAGAAGGGGCTCTGGAGAGCTGCCATCTGCAAAGGGCGGGGACAGCGATAAGAGAGGCAGGAGGGGGCCCTCCGCGTGGAAACCAGGACCTCTGGTCGCAGCCACTGTAGCAGTCCAGCAGGACTTCTCTCCAGAAACCCTGAGCAAGCTGGGACTCACCAGAAAGGAGCGACGGTAACATGATCCTTGTTGGACAGGTGAATGCACTAGGGGAAAGGGTTTCAGTGACGAAACTAAAGGCAGTAAGGAAGGGGCAGCTGTACGCAGAAGCCCTCCTCGCTTCTGCCTCAGCCCTCAAGGACCTTCTGTGGTCGTCAGCACATGGCAGGTGGGGCCTGGCTCTGCAGCCACAGTGCCCCCTGGATCCTAGCCCCACACTTGCCATGTGTGTGGCCTTTGGTTTCCTCGCTTGTGAAAGGGTCCCATCCGCGGGCCTGCGGGGAGGCTGAGACCGGCACTTGGAGGAGGCACCACCTCTGACAAGGCGAGGCTGGCGGCAGCCAGTGCATAAGTTCAGGCCTAGGAGGTCACTAGCGGCCCGGCCCTGTGGAGGGTGCCTGGGCCTCCCCATCCCCCCATTCAGAGCACTGCTGGGGGGACTTTCCAAACAGGGTGTGCAGGGGCCATGAGCACGGCACCCGCCGGCCCATCTGCTGATTAACCTCTAATGGGATTCGAGTGCTGCTTGTCACTGTCACCTACCTACTGCCAATGGCCCAATGCCTCCTGCTAATGAAGTGCCATCAGGTAAGTGCTCCCTCCTGTCCATGGAGCCCCAGTCCCCTGCTGAGGAGCCAGGGCAGCTCTGCTCTGGCTGTGACAGGGCACCAGGACACCTGAGGAATCCCACTCGCCCTCACGCCCTGGGTGGCAGCCAGAGAGCCCCATCTGAGGGCAGGACGAGGCCAACGGCTTCAGTTTCCTGGTCTTCATCCATCCTCTGTTCACCCCTGTGAGCAGGTCCGGTGGCCCCAAGAGAAGTGCCTGCCTTCTCCAGAAGGGCCCTGGGGAGCTTCAGAGCCCAGGCAGAGTCCTTGGGTTTGCAGATAGCTTCTGGGGACACGGCAGAGTGGGGCTGGGAGCTGCGCCATCCAGGTGCTTTCAGGCGGGCATTTGGGGGCAGCATTGCCGCTGGGCCCTCTGAGGAGGGTTGGGACCCCGTTTGGACCATGAAAGCCACCCTTGCAGGAAGCCCTCTGGCCCTGGCCGCAGCAGGGGGAGGTCTCAGCCCTGCCCACCGGCCTGACTGGGAACAGCTTTAGCAGCTTGTCTGCGAAACGGTGATGCATTTCCAGTGGTGCAAAGGGCTGACTGGGCAGTTTCAAAGGACAGCTGTTGCCACAGCAGAGAGCAGCTGAGACTCCAGGGTGGTCGCTCGGGGCGATGTGGGTGCCCTCCAAGTTGTGGCTGGAGGATGAAGACGGATGTTCCTTGTAGGGTAGAAAGGGGGTCTCAGTGTTGGTCCTGTTAACACAGGCCTTGGTCTTCCATATTGATCTGGGAGAGGACCCAGCCAGCTTTCCAACAAGCCAATCTGATCTGCTTTTTACAAACCTTGAGGTGGGGCTCCAAAAGCCCCAGAAAATTGGGGCTCATTACCCCCCTCAAACTGTCATTCCTGCTTCTCCATTCTTTCCAGCACCTTCACATGGTTTGTAGCTGAACAGGGTCAGCAATGTCAGCCTTCCCGCTAACAGGGGCTCCTGTTGGTGGTGCAGATTCCAGCAGAGGCCCGGCCCTGTCCTCCCTCCTGCGGCTGGCCACGGCCTTCTACCCGCATCAGGCGCTGGGCTGTGAAGCCACCTCTGGGCTGCTGGGATTAGGACGATCACCCCCATGGCGCCATCTCCGACCGGTGGCCGCACAGCCTCTGGCTGGTGGAAGCAGAAGTGGATTCTGTCTGGGGCCGACGCTGGGCCTCGTTAGAGCCATGGCTCTCAGCGCTGTCCTCAGCTGCAAAGCTGCTTCTCTCTGGTATTATCGGGGTGACATGTAGCCAACGAAGGGGGGCATCAGCCCTGCGGGGGAGGGCTCAGAGGAACTGGCGTTTGATCCGAGATGTCAGAGGGAGAAGGAACGACTCCCGCCTGTGAGGGCTGCAGACACCCGCCATTGCCCAAGCACGTGCTGGACTGAAGCGAGACCAGAGAAGCCCCTGTGGCCGGCAGCCCTGCTTCACTGGGGTGGGGTATCCAGACCATTCTGCCGCCCAGGCAGGACCCTGGAGCAGCATTGCCAACACAGCACACCTGGTCCCCACCACCGTCCTGCAGGGTCTGCCTCAGGAGGGCCCCTCGCGGCTACTGCAAGGACCCCCAGTGAGGATCCTGGGGCTGGCGCCAAACGAGCCAATTCCTCCAGCTCTGTGCTCAGAACTGAGCTCCCATGGAAATGAATTCTGTAACGTGCAGGCAGCCTGCTGGGCTCCTCTGTGGGCGAGCTGGGTAATGAAAATAAAGTGCTGCGCCTGCAACGTGGCCATGCTCGGGCATCGCTGCCGGTGGGTTCCGTACAACTTGGCCTCCGTGTCCTGCAGTCCTTCCAGTGGCCAGGGTGGCGGTGCCGAGCTGTGTGGCACGTTTCTCCTGCTGCTGGCCTGTTCGAGGCAGACACCACTGGGCACCCAGCCCTGAGGGCCGTTTGGGGCAGCTCCTCACTAGCTATGGGTCAACATCAGCATCTTCATGTGACCTTGGAAGGTCCTTGGCAACACCTGGAAGCCCAGGTTTGGAAGGAGGGGTCGTGGGCTCAAAAACGGGCGCAAAGACGTCCATGGCCTAATCTTCGGAACCTGTAAATGTCACCGGGTGACAGGGTTTGGCAGACGTGATTAAATGTAGGCTTCTGGTGCTGGAGCATGCAGGTGGCCACTGGAGGGGGGAGGTGGAGGGAGAGTGATGCAGGAGGGGGAACGAGGTGGCAGCCTTGCATCTTCCAGGGCAGAGACAAGGAAACACATTGGCCCCTAGAACTTCCAGAAGGAACCTGCCCTGCTGACACCTTGCCTTTAGCTCAGTGGGACTGATTTTGGACTTCTGGTCTCCAGAACCATGAAAGAATAATAAATCCATGTTTGAAGCTGTCAGCTTTGACGGAATCTGTTACTGAAGCTGCAGGAGACGAAGGGGGTCTTTGAGATTTCCAAAGCCACACTGGGGTTCAGGAGCAGCAGGTGTGCTGTCCCCTCAGGCCCCAGCCATCCTGACCTGGGTGGGTGCTCCCCCAGGAACCCCTAGCCACGGTCTGGGGGGGGGGGGCTTTGTCACAGCGATTCAGGCTGGCCGCCTGGGAAGACACTGCAGGCTGTGGAGCGGGAGGCTCCAGGCGTGACTGTGCCACGTCTCCTGTCAATTATGCCACCCGGGCTCAGATGCGGCCCCCTCCCTGTCTGCTGGGAAAACACTCGGCCGCGGCCGCAGGGCGGGGTGCCAGCCTGGGCAGACAGACCCCTGCCCTGGGAGGGGCTGGCCACAGCCAGCCATGTTGGTCACACAAGGCCTCTTCTGTGGGGGGCCAGGGCCATTAGGGTTAGATAAACACCCACTGTCCCTGAGGACAGCCAATCCCTACAAAAGTAGGCTGATTTTGTTGACTTCTGCTGCCGACCGGCCCTGCTGCCAGCCTCAGCCCCAAATCCCCAACACACAAACCAGCTCAGGGGACTGGCACCTCAGCGCTACCTCATTAGGTGTGCACTCAGGTGCCCACGACGAGGGCCGCCCAACCTGGAACCCAGGGATGCTGGCCTGCATCTACCCAGGAGCAGCCGAGACACAGGTGCAGGCAGGGAGGAGGGCTAGTGACATGAGCAGGGGAACCAGCTGCCGTCCTCCCTGGCCCCAGCCCTGGGGAGATGCCCACAGCTCATCAGCTTGCTCGGCCTGTGTTGGTGTCTGGAGACCCAATGGTTCGCAGAGAGCAGGAAGTGGCTCACGAAAGTATAAAGCCCAGAATGGAAAAAGAAGAGGAAAAACCAACTGGACTATCGACAACACACATGAGGACAGGAGGAAAAAACAAGAGTCCTCCATGGGGACTGAAGCTGAGTGGCACTTTGGCTTCCCGCTGGCCAAAGCAAAAAGGGCAATGTGGGAGCCTCACTGTCAGAGGTGGGCAGCACGTGCCAACCCCTCAGCCTGCACTAGGCCAGCGGGCTCCTGGGCAGGCCTGAGGGCCTGCTCCGAGCTGGATGCCGCACCTCAGGCACCTCATCTCCACGGCAGGCTGTGGCCCGTTCCACACACGGGTAAGCGGAGCCTGTGGGGGAGGGGCTGGTCCTTCCATGGGGGAGCGCTGGGGCAGGGATTCGGACCTCTGGTCCTGCTGAGCGAAGTCTGGGCTCCTGCACCTCTCACGCAGGTTACCACGCCCATTGCCTACACACGTACATGTGCCCTGAGGCAAAACCGCACTCCCTGACCGCCTGCTATGCCAACGGCTTTTGCTTGTACCTTGAGAGGCCCAGGACAGCTGTCCCCATCCCTCAGGACCTGACACCTGGGTGGCGATGCCCACTTAGAGGTGGGTCTGAATCCCCTCTTCAGATCCCAGGCCAGGGCAGGGCTGTTGACCCTGGAGCACTGAGCCAGGTGAGAGCCAGGCTTCTGCATGATGTGGGCTTGGCTTTGTCACTGGCCTTGGTGGCCTTAGTGGCCAGAGTATTTACCTGCAGGAGTGACTGCTGGAGAGACCCTGAACTCATGATTCATCTTGAGTGACAAGCACCACCAGTGCCACAGCAGTTCTGTGTAACTCAGTGATGCCCTGGAGCTTGGCCCACTGGGTCTTACTGCCTTTGTGACAAAATAAAAACACACATTCCCCGCGGCTACCGTGAATGTGCAGGCCACGGGGCACCCAGTACAAGCAGGCTTCTCTCCAGCTGCTGCTGTGAAGAGTCCTCACTTTCATCTTTCTCCTGTTGCTAAAGACACTGACTTCCCCCTCAATTCCCTCCTGAACCCACTGTCCCCCCAAGCTCACCCACCCACGCTGCTCAACACGCCTGACTCCAGGGTAGGGTCGGAGGAGGACGCACAGCTCAGCCCCCTCCCGCCTGCAGCCCCGGAGCCCCGCTCCGCACTCCCGGAACCACCACGGCCGGCCGCACAGGCAGGTGCCCCCCGCCTCGCCCGGGCCAGCTAGGAGCTCACTGAAAGGACTCCTCCTGCAACCACCGCCCTGTGGGGGCCCGGACAGAGCACACACCCTGCTTCCCACCTCTGACCTCCGGGCTGCACTCACCCATGGACCCTCAAGAGGGCGCTGTGGGTCACCCACATCTGCTGACCCTCTCCCAGAGGAAGGGGGCCGAGCCACAAGGGCCACACCTCCAGCCAAGCTTTGAACATGAAAATCTGCCCTTACAATAGCAGCCACTGGCTTGTAAAGAAAGCCGGCCGTGGAGCTGAGACCTTGCAAAGGGGTCAAAGCTTTGATCTCACGGTCTCGATCTGTAACGCAGCACGGGGAAATCCCACCACCAAAAGGCCTGGACCGGGAGGGCCGCCACGGTCCCTACAAGGCCCAGCAGTGGGCAGCGTGTTCCTCGAGCTCACGCACAAGGGCTGGGAGGCAGATACTCAGAGTTGACAGTCCCAAGGGGGCAAAGAAATCTCTGTGGATACCAACAAAACACTCGAGGCCGCCCCTGGACACACTGTCCTGAGCGCCACTGCTGTGGACAGTCACCGGCCACATCAGCTCAATACTGAGGTTCTTTCAGCATAACAGCCCCAAGCCAGACCCCACGGACACTCCAGCGAAACAGAAAGAATCAAGGTTCCAATTCCCAAACCAAACTGTGGTGTCACTGCTTTGGCAGTTTCCAAAGCCATTTTGTGTCTGTTGTTTCATTTATCAGGACTATGACAATGCAAGATAGGTGGGGGACAGGCACAGCAGGATGGCCAGAATCCTGGAGCCGCCTAGCACCAGGGGGTCTAGGGAAGGGTGGCAGGAGGGTGTGGCCACCAACTTGGAGACAGCAGCGTGCTCAGGCCTCCCTCCTGTTTGGTGGCTACAACAGCTTCAAGGCCGAGAATAGCGTGTGCTCCCCAGCCCCTCAGTTACTGGGGCTCAGGGGAGGGGCAGTGGTCTTTAGTGACACTCACGCTGGAGGAACATGGCCACCCCTCAATGGGGAGTGATCCAGAGGCATGAGCCAGGTGTGGCTGTTCTGTCCCCTGCACGGGCCTGGTCCATCAGCCAACGATGAACAATAAACAAAGCATCTGGATGTTAATGTGGTTACCAGGGAAACGGGAGGGGGGCAGCAGGGGGTCTGGGGCTCTGAGCGGCCACACCCCTGCCCTGCTCCCTCGGTGGGCTTTGGCCTGTCTCCCTTCCTGAATCTGAGCAGCCCAGGTGGGACGGCCCAGCCTGCCACTGTCCAGCCCGCTTACCTTGCCAGTCTGGCACTGCGACCGGCCCCACGCTGGGCCGAGGTGGGTGGACGTGAACTGGCAGGGTGAGCCCTGCGCTGACTGGGGGCCCCTAGTGCGTGCGTGTCCCACCCGATGCCACGGAGCCGTGGGCCAGGGGCTTACCTCGTACAGCAAACAGCCCAGGGACCAGATGTCGGACTTGAAGTTGTAGCCGTTCTCATGGATCCTCTCTGGCGACATGTAGTATGGCGTCCCAACTGAAACACAGCAAGGGACAGGTGCTCACGTGCACGCAGGGACATGCTGCAGGAGCACAGGGTGAGGGGCGAGCGGGCGCTGGGGGACAGGGCCCAGGCTCCGAGCAGCCCCTCCCTCTCTGGACCTGTCCCCTCTGTCAGACGAGGGGTGGGCCGACTGGAGGTTCCCACGCTGGCGGGGTGTAAAGCCCATGGGGTGCTGGGGACTTTCAGGAGAGACCTAGTAGCCAGGCTGGGGCTGGGCAGTCTCGGGCGGTGTTTCTACCACCTGCCTGGGGACCAGGGTGTGGGAGCAACTGACCAAACGTCCTTTAAGGTGGCTGAATCCCCACAGAGTCAGGATCAGGCTCTCAACAGTGAAAAGATAACCACTGTTAAGGGTGCCAAGCATTCCACGTGTGTCCTCTCATTCATGTTCCCGGCAGTCCCCTGGGGAGGCACGCCCACTTTTCAGATGGGGAAACCAAGGCTCAGTGAGACAGGCTTGAATAAAAGTGGCAGGAACGGGGTTCAAGCATGGACAGGCTTGTAGCCACCCCTATGGCCAGCAACAATCAGCACGTCCAGACTCGGGGTTGGCCGAGATTTAGCAGGATAGAAAAGGCACGGGCCACAGAAGAAAGGTCTGTGAGTCTTTCACTGCAATTAGGAACTTCAGTTCATCAGAAGACACCACTCAGAGAAATGAAAGGCCACAGACTGCGAGAAATCGTCCCGATACATAGCCCCGACAACAGACTCATACAGAATACATTTTACAGCTTCTGTACATCCGTAAGTAAAAGACAACGTCCTTCTTCATTGAGCAAAGGACTTGAACAGCACTTCATGGAAAAGAATATCCAGATGGCCGATGGGCACACGGAACGTGTTGTTTTCCTCATTACTTGTCCGAGAAGTGCAGATTCAAAACACATTGAGATAGGACCACACACCCAAAAAGCCGAAGTTACAAAAACAGAAGAGGTGACGTGTGGAGCAACTGGAACTCCCCTGCATTGCTGACGGGGACAACGTGGTCCGGCTGCCTCGTTTGGCACCTGTTTGGCAGCACCTGCCACAGCTAAACACTGTTGGCACCATGACCTGCCAATTCCACTCCTAGGAGCTCTGCTGCACATCATCACATGCCTCAGTGCACAGCAAACAAGAAAAACGGTTTTCAATGGCGAGGAAAGCCAGAGGACTGCCAGGCCTGTCCCTGTGGTTCTTCCCCCAGGAAAGGCCAACACCCAGGAAACCGTGGAGCGTCGTGTCCTGACCTTTGAGTTCCTGCAGGGCTCTCTCTGGGCAGAGAGGCACATCTCTGAAGAGCTGGAACTGTGCAAAGATGGGAGAATCTCTGAGAGGGAGTGAGCTCCCTGTCACCAGGTGAGAAAACTGCAGCAGAGAGGCTGCTTCATCAGGTCTGGGGTGAGGCCCAGGAATCTGGATTTGTAACCTGAGATTCTGACATCAGCCCATTTGGAGGATGACTTTTCCGGAAGCTTCTGGAACAGATGCGATCGTAGCTCCCTGCAGCCCCGAACTTCTGGACTCAATAATCTTTCTGCCTCAGGATCCTGAGTATCTGGGACTGTAGGCGCACGCTACCACACCCAGCTAATTTTTTTTAAAGTTATTTTTTGTAGAGACAGAGTCTTGCCATGTTGCCCAGGCTGGTCCTGAACTTCTGGCCTGAAGCGATCCTCCCTCCATGGCCTCCCAAAGCACTAGGATTCCAGGTGTGAGCTACCACACCCCACCCGGGACCAGATTTTAAAAATTACTACACAGAGGCATTTTCACTGGCCTGGAGGCACCGTTTTGTGGGACAGAGGCTGCTGCTGTCCTAACTAGAGTCTGCGTAGAGAGCAGGACACCAACCTGGCAGGGGCCGGCCCTGAGATGTGGCCTGTGACACTAGGAAAGAGGGACCCAGGACCCCGAGAGGAACACAGGCCCTTCTGTGAGCCAGACGCAGAAAGCAACGGGTCCAGGCTTCAGGATTTCATGGGCAAAAGACGTTTCAGGGCAAACACAGGGTGGGCAACTTTAAATTTTGCCAAGGAAGGATGTTTAAGAAACACAAAACCCCCAACTACCATTTAGCGTCACTACTATCATGAAAAGATAGCTTAACACTATTTAGTAAAACCCATAATGTCAAAATCAAAGTCTTCTATAAAACTGAAGAAGTCTGACTCTGAACTCTTTATTGCGTTGTTTTTCTCATCTTATTGGAGACGGAGGCAAAGCGTGCCCGCCACGGAGGCTGCGAGCATCGCCGGAGACCAGCGCCCTGCGCTATGAGCTCCCCGGGCCGGGCCTCGCTCCCCAAGCTTCCGGGTGCCCTGCGCAGGACGGCTCCTGGCGGGCGCCCCGTGAGTGTCCCCTCCCGGAGTCGATGAATCCATCCACACGTTATCTGCCCGGCTGTGCGTGTCCGTGTGAGCCGCTCCTTCTTGCCCAAGAGGGGTGACCTTCATGAACTCAAGTGTCTAAAATGTGACCACCTACCAGCTGTGAGAGTTTTAAGTGGCTACAATTCTCCCACTCTGTAGCCTTGATTTTAGGACTTGGCACATTTGGTTGGAGCTTCGCTATGTTCATCATACAATTGACACTTGCTTTATCAGGCCACCAACCTCCCTTCCACGGCAATAATCCTGAACAAGGACAGCAGCCATCACTTAAAGACATGACTTTGAGCCACGTGCCATCCCATACACATACTTTATGGCTGAAATCAGGGCCAACTGCTATTCAGCAGGCAGAGCTGTGAGTCAACACGTGCACCTGTGTGGGATTCTCCCAGGGAAGTAAGTCGCAACTTCATGTAGCAACACCTTGTACATTTTGGTCATGAGGGAGCAAAACTCACAAGCCACGTGTGAAACGGATGCCCTGTCTTAGCCAGGCCGCAGGATGAAACGCACAGTGTTCGGTGACAGTGAGAACCTCAGGACAAGTCTAGATGGACTCTAGCACCGGGACTGCCATGGATGGATGCGCCCACAGGTTGGAAGACGACATGGGGAACAGCAGTGTCCACTGTCTGGCTGCACTGCACCAGCAAGACCCCTGGCCAAGCCCCTCCTGGCTGACCCTGACAGCTCTTCCCACCCCCAAGCTTGTCCTCTTTTTTTTGAGACAGGATCTCACTCTGTCACCCAGGCAGGAGTGCAGTGGTGTCGTCATAGCTCACTGCAGCCTCTAAATCCTAGGCTTAAGCCATCCTCCTGCCTCAGCCTCCTGAGTAGCTGAGACTACAGGCATGTGCCACAATGCCCAGCTAATTATTTTTTCTTATTTTTTTTTGTAGAGACAGGATCTTGATATGTTGCCCAGGCTGGTCTTGAATTCCTTGCCTCAAGTGGTCCTCCTGCCTCAGCTACCCACAGTGCTGGGATTTTATAGGTGTGAGCCACTGTGCCTGGCCCCTCTGCTCATTTTAGATCTGCCTGGGTCTCTACAGGAGGGACTCTGCCTGGGGAGATGACCTGCAGAGTGGCCAGGCCTGTCTGACAGTGAGGCCTCTGAGCACCTGGCCCCCAGGCCGGGTCCTCCCACAATGACCAGCCCAGCCCCAACCCAGCCTGCACTTCCCTTCCCCTCTGTGCCTTTGCACATGCCGTTCCCTCTGCCACCTGGCGGGCTCCTTTAAGGTCCAGCTTAAGTCGCCCCTCTCCTGGCCAGGGAGAGCCAGCTGCTCAGCAGGCCTGAGCGAGTGGGCCTGTCCCTCTGTTCCATCGCCACTTTCCCCCTCTGCCGGGTTCTGAGGCCGATGCTGTGCTCCAGAGCCCCCTCTGGCTGTGGGAAAGGCCTGGGGAGCACAGGGAGAGAGGTTCAGGGGCACTTCTTCCTGTCCATGCCCCACCCTGCCCCGCTGCCTCCTCTCGGCCCTGCCTGCTTGCCCAGTTTCCACTGGTATAAGGGACAAAAGGCAAACACACCCAGATGTAACTCGGAGCTGTCTTCTAAGATGCCAGTGCTGTGAACCCTCATCCGTACTACCTGTCTGTCCATCATCCATAGACTGTCCCTCTGTCATCCGCCCAGCACCTGTTCATCCATCTGTCTGTCCAGCTAGCATCTGTCCATCCAACCCTCCACCCATCGCCTGTTCATCCCCCCACCCACCTAACGTTAACTGAGCTGGCTCTGTGCTGGGACCCTGCAGGAGTGGGCCACCCAGAAGGTAGAGCTGCCTGTCCCAGTGAAGCGTCCAGAAGGAGCCAGGGGACCACATATATCAAGGACTGATCAGTGGCTACAGCCATGTCACCCAGAGGGGCTTGTTAGAAATCTGGGTCCCCAGCCCAACTCCAGACCTGTAGGGTCAGAATCTCCAGGGGTGGAATTGGGACACCTGCACCTCTCACAAGCCCCCTGGAGCTTCCCTCGCCCACCTGCTTATTCTTTCAGATGCTCAGGAAACATGGTGGAACAAGAAAGTAAATGAACCTACGAAGCATTAAGGGAGGGAGGTCTGGCCCACCTTGTGCCAGCACTGGGTCCTCCTGTCCCCACCTCCTGGCAGATTCTCCAGTCCCAACCTAGGGAGGGGCTGCTCCCCCTTGGTCTGTGCATCTTAAAGCTGGGGTGCTCTGCCTGACTGGGGGTATCCTTGACTCGAGTGTTATGAAGCTATGGCGGTGAACACAGCACCTCTTCCTGTTACGCCAGCTTTATCTGGGACTAAGTCACGTAAACCCTGGTTTTTATGCAGACAACAGACACGCAAACATGATAGAGCACAACGCACACTTGCATATGAATTTTAGAGATAAAACAAGACACTTCAAAGAAACCCCCAGCTCACAGCAGCTGAGGACGCGTCCCAGGCCCCAGGGGAGTGAGATTTGGGGTAACAGTGGGGAAAGCCGGCAGGAGGAGGAGGCCTGCGGACCGGGGCCCTGTCTAGGGGGACCTCCGTGGGTGGCGCAGCCCGGCCCGGCCCGTCTCCCAGCGACACGCAGAGGCAGAGCCGCGCACAGCCACCCTCACTGCCGTTCCCC